ATATATATATATATATATATATATATATATATATATATATATAATTTTGATAACAACTTGACTTTGAATCGCTTCTTATTGCGATTTCCTTGTTCAAGTTTAAGTCAACGGAAGGTTTTACACTTGTCCTTCATCCGACCTTCGATTCAAACTCAACCGTAACAACTTATGGCCATCTCTTTCTCTCCCTGTAAAAGTACTGTGAGTGCATTGATTTTTGCTGGTTTTAAATTTCGCTATTTTCGTTTGTAAGTATAATCCGCTAAATTAAATCCACATCTAAAATAACAATAGAACTCATCGTGTCTCTCATCCGTGGTTTTACAGTAACAAGAAATATTTTGATTACAAGAAACTGGTTTAGATTCATTGAATACATAAAATGAAATATATATTGTTCTTACTGTAAAACAAGTCGGGTCAACAGTGATTAGAACCAATATAGACGTGCTTCTCAACTAACCTTTTTGTTTAACAAATTTAAATCTTCGTCACACTGTCAGGGTGAGGTTTTTAAAATACATGAGTATACCGGATTAGGACCCTGTCAGACTGTCGATACAAGTTTTGAAAAATACGTAGTTGTGTTCATTTTGAATACGTGGCGCGTCATTTAAAAAAACAAACAATGAGATCGGAATTTATTTTCGGTAAATATTCATGCGACGTATTATTCAGAAAACAAATGTGTATATATGTATGTATCTGTTGGATTATTGAAGAAACGTGCCTTGTATTCCTGTTTTTTCCCTGGACATGCGCCCTCTAATGACATGGCAAGTGTAAAGTGATAGTTGTATTTGAAACGCTGCATATGATTGGATAATATTAACGTTTGTATTGCAATCTCTCAAAACATATATGAATGGGTGTTCCAATAATGATAGGTTTTTTTTTTCTGGAGGGGGTATGTTCTGTTAAGTATTTGATTTTTATTTTTCGAGTTGTGGGTGTTTTTTTCAATTCTGATTTTAATAATCAGTCATTCTAGCCAAAAAAGGGGGCCAACCCGTCACAAATTGCCACAAAAATAATTTCTTCCCAGTGCTTTTCAGAAAAGTATCGAGATTGACATACTGAAAGTCTAGGAAAATCTAGGCTTCCGAAATATACCTAATTTGCATATATTCAAAATGGCCGTTTTGCACATTTTTACAACATAGAAATATAACTATTTGGATATATCTTTAATTCTAGATAAGGTATTATAAAAAAATCATGATGCTATGGTACTTTTTTGAGTCGGAGAAGGTATGAGAGTACCAAATGTGTTGATTGGGTAGATGAAAATTAGCATACATCCAATATGGCCGCGATAATATAATTATTTAATGAAACTTCTCTTCCGGCTTCTCTTCTATGTGGCATAAGTGATAAGTTTAGGGTGCTAGAATACAATTTTAAACAGAATCGTACAGTACAGAAAAGACGTAAATAAATGGTTTCCTTGATAGACGGATGCTTCATCTGAATAAATCTAACAAGGCTGTCACATCTAAAAGAAAAAACTAGAGGAATGAAACACCTTGGTTGAATCTACAAATCTGCTATACTATGTACATAATAGACCATTTAAACGTAAATTTTCAACACTATAAAATATATTTTTGATTTAACAAACTGTATTAAATAGTTATATTTCTAATCTAATCTAATTTTTAATATTTGCAAATCGTAATCACTATCTTCATCAGATATCTGAACTACATTTGTGCATCCAGATCTTCGACATTGACAACAAACTGCAGAAAATTCAAGGTTGTGCTTTCTGCAGGTACATCTGACTGCAGCAGTCTGTGGAGCAGTTGCATCTCACTATCCTCAAGAGAAATTCAGGTGCTGCCTCTTTGTCAGTCATTACAGGAATTACGATTGTTTGTGGATCACGTGCTGGGATTTGCTTCCTTATCACGACTTGGTTGTCCATAAAGGCGACACACCCATCCGAGAAGGACAATGCCCCTAATTCAGCCAAACGCTTATCTGATGCGAGGGTAGGAAGACTGCTTTCCACGTCAAAAGTTTAAGTGGTGGTGATCGGAGAGGCTCAAAGGGCAGTCTGCTTAGAGCGGCCAACACAACTGATAATTTCCAATTGGTTGGTTCCCTCGTTCGGGGTATAGGTCTCTGATTAAACAGAAAAAAACTAATAACAGTACAACAAAGGATGACATAAATCTCCCTTCCACTATACCAATCAGTGTACGCACATAATTTTGAGGCGTAGGATGTGTTGGTGGGATCCCTGTTCGTCCTAGCCAGGACGTTGGCAGCCCACTCTGAGTGAGTCAACTTAGAGCCCTGATGCGTGTAAGTGGCACACCGCTGGCCTCAAAGGCAGTGTGCCATCTGGTTGGAACAGCAGATCCGGAAGTCTGTAAGCACTCCTGGTGTTTCGATTAACGTTTCCAACAGTAGTGGAAACCAGACCTTGCTTGGCCCATTGGGCGGCACCCGCGTCTAAGTGCAGATGCGCTCATGTCGAAGTTTCTCCAGTACCCGGTGAATAGCGGGAAGGGAGGAACGGCGGGTCAATAGGGGTCGACATAGTGTCCCTGGCCCTCGTGTGTCGTGTACATCGGGAGCTTGGCGTTCCAGGGTGTGGTGAATAGGTCTAACCTTTGACCGTCCCACCGCTGAAACAGTCTGGAGGTTACCCATTGGGGTATTCGCCACTCCACATTCTGGAGACAGAGTCGCCATGAGAGGGTGTTCGCTTGACTGTTTCTCGCCCCTGGAAGGTGGTGTGTGGCTAGCATTGTATTCCAAGTACCAAAGGAGAATTTGCTCCGCTAGGACTGATGACGATGGGGTTCTGGTCCCCCTCCTTGTAGCTATAGGATACCGCCGCTGTGCAAAGCAACTATGGGCAGAAAGTGAAGTAGTGCTAAGGGAGGCATCCGTTTCCAGAGTCATAACCGTGGCGAGTGGGTCCAAGAGAACCCCCTGCCTGAGGTTGGCAATTGCTGACCACCAGCACAAGGCATCCTTCGCCTGGCCCGAGAGTGTTACACCTCCCCAATTCCCATAAAAGAGCCAAGTGCAACACAATTGCACTGTAACAGGCAGCTGCGTAATGCGGCATGGAGGAACTACCCTGCAAACCGCTAACATCATTCCGTTGATCCGCATTAGTTCTCAGAGGGACACAGAGGGAATGCTGACTAGGTCGTTTAGGCAATGAGCCTGTGGCTACCTTACCAAGCCCATCTCCATGTCAAACTCCCTGGCCAGTAACACCAACTGTTGTGTTGGCTGAGGGTGGGACTTGCTCGATTTACTAGGAAGCACAACTGGTCTAGAGAATCTAGTATTAGCCTTACTGTTTGTCTAACCATCCCTTGTTGGGTTGTGTAGCAGCCAGCCATCTACCATCTACCAGCCAGGTACACGTTGATGTGTACCAATGTGATGTGTACCGGCGCAGCAGTAGCACCACCTGTTTCCACACTCTGATGAATACGTATGGAGCCATGCAAACCTGAAGTGGGGCACCCTGCACTCAACTACTTGGCCCAACTGGACGAATCGAGGGACTCACTGGGTGTATCTATATGTGCGGGTAAGTATCGCTAAAATCTAGCGAGGCTAACCAGTAGAAACAGAGCATGGAAAATAATATGGTGCTTTGTGTTTCTAGGAAGCTCATACTGATTTAGTCTGTTCAAGTCCAGAACAGGGCATAGCCACCTGTAGTCACAGTTGTAGTCTTTGAAACCACCAATACTTGCGAGTAGAAGCCCGGACTTAACACTGAGTCCCCTATCCTGTGTATAGCGCTCTTAGCGCTGTAAGCAAACTATCTACCTCCTGTCAGATTGCTCCCACTTTGCGGGGGTCCCCTGGTAGTGCCCCGTACAGGGGCTGGTACCAGGGGAGTGGAGATCTTGTAACCGTGTATCCCCACCTGGAGAGTCCAGTGATCTGTTACATGCACTGCCTCCGAACTGGAATAGACCATCAAGCATAAAGCATCAAACCTGCTTCCCCTGCGAGCTGGGTAGGAGACCCCAAGGAAGAGGGGGCCACCACCTGGTCCCTTCTTCCTGGTGGCGCGTTGCCACTCTTTCCTTCCCTGGAAGAGGCGGGATGCTTGCCTCCTGGCCCACCAATGGTTGTGTCTGCTGGTCTAGGAGGCTGATGTGTTCTGTCATTGGGACTTCAGAGTGCTGGTGACGCAAAACAATTCGTTCCAGTGGGCTGGCCACAACTTGAAGGTTGATTGTCGCCACTCTGTTCTCAGTGAGTGGATTGTTGACTAACTGGTTGAAATATTCCATGAACGCAGCCCCCCTACTATTTGCCCGCCCCACTAAAAAAAAAAAAATTGTGATACCGGGGTCAGGGGAAGAACCGAATGATCCAATTAGGGCGCAATATTTGGCTCTAGAATCTGCTGGCTCCGGGTGCGGGTGGGTGGTGGTTGAACATCGGGTCACTAGGAGGTTTCCCCCTCACCCCACGGCGTGGCTCATGGAGTCATTACGAGGAACAAACTCAGAGGTTGCACATATAAATTATATTATTTTGGATGTATGCAAATGGTTGTTATTCAATCAAATGTTTCACAATCACATACATTCACACACATCAAACCATGTCGCAGCAACTTGAATATCTACAAAATGTCATCTAGAATTAGAGATATGTCCTAATAGTTATATTTTCCATGTTGTAAAAATGCACCAAATGGTCATTTTGAATATATGCAAATTAGGTATATTTCGGAAAGCTAGATTTTCCTAGACTTTTGGTATGTCAATCTAGGCACCACCCCGAAATGTATTGTGAAGAAATTATTCCTGTTGCAATTTGTGATGGGTCAAACCATAAATTGACTGGACTAAATTCACAATTTGATAAGTGAATTTTCGAAAATAGCATTTGTATCGTGCGTATAGAAAATGAATGTTCAAGGCACAGAAAACGTGAGTTGCAATGTACATTCGTGTGTCGAAAGAAACGTACATACTTCATTTGAATCATGTGACTTGATAATAGACTGAGCGTCATACGTAAATGAATGAGTTGAATAGTTTCCCTTATAATTCCCTGCAACATCTAGTTCATATCGTTTCAGATCAAATCCTTGATCACGAGTATGTGCATAAAAGTCTTCACTAGGAACAAGAAATCCTTTAAGACACTCGGGATACTTTCTTTTGATTGCGAAATATATATGCAAAAACGTAGTGGTAGACTCGAAAATAAAGAAACTGGTCATGTGGTCAGCGCGTCGTATCAATCTGATTAAAATCTGATGTAGTGTACGGGCTTTAATTATTTTGGCTATAAACTTATTTTAATTTTTATTATATTTGTTATTAATGCCTTTTTATTTTATTATTTTACTTTGATTTTGATTTTGTGATTTTTTTTAATTCCGCCCTACCTACATCTGATCCGACGCCTATGTAAGTCCCGTTCAAATCTCGCGTAAATAACAGCCAATCACAGCCCCCCTTTTATACAGGCTGTCGGTTGCATTCTTTTCAGTGTATACAGGCAATCTGTCTGTACATTATATTTTGCCCACTTGAATAAACAATTAATAGAAAATTGCTAGTATATTTTTATTTACAAAAGAAATTTCACAGCATTTTACAATTGTTGTGATTACATTGAATATTTTTTTCACTTCCAACAAATGTGTACACTTCCAGATACATCTTCGCCAGCCAAGGTTCGTTTTATTCAATCATCGCTTCAATTTTACACCACTGAACATAATTATCTAGAATGGAAGCAAAAAAATAAGTAAATCGTAATGATTAGAACACTGTAAACAGCTATAGTAAACAATGCAAACTGATTTTAAATTGTATAACGGGCACCGGCCCACGGCATCGACGCAGAAAATTGGAGCAAACAAATATTTCCTGATCAATTGCGATGTGTTCCAAATAAAAAATATTTTATTCCAGTCAGCTCAATTATTTAAATAAAGAGTTATTGTATAATGTACAAAATGTTGATACAATTTAATGAATATTTACAGCTACGGCTTCAATACCGTAGACGATGTTGGCCTGATCGTCAACAAAACATCACCCGTCTCCAGGGCAAGCGACTGGAAAAAGACACCGGTGTTCGGTCGAACCGGTGGAAACAAAATCGTCACTCCCAGAATAACTACGCAAAATAACGATCTAAACTCGAACCATTCGAGCCACAATATTAACATAAAAATGACTTTCGTTGCATTTGACAATGATAAACTTTTTTTCTCGGTCGCTAACGTCGGTACATTCCGCCATTATATTTGAGTGTGTTTGCCACCTGACTGTGCCCGGTGACGTCATCATGTGCGCTATTGGAGGTATGTGATTCGTTGACTAAAATCGTCGATAGTGGGTCTCGTTGAAATCTCGTTACATAGGCATCGCGTCAGATGTATATAGGGCGGAATTAAAAAAAAAAACCGAAATCAAAATCAAAGTAAAATAATAATAAATAAAAAGGCATTAATAACAAAAGTAATAAAAATAAAATTAAAATAAGTTTATAGCCAAAATAATTAAAGCCCGTACACTACATCAGATTTTAATCAGATTGCGCGTCGTATATGCTTGTATTCAATACGCGTAGAACATCCATCCACGAGCGAACGACTTTAGACCTGCATTCTCCGAGCATCGACTAACGCTTTGATTTTTGACCCTCAACCACGCCACCAACGACAGAAATCAGTCGAGGCTTGGAGAATGGAATATGCTGTGGCGGTTGGGAGTGCGTTCACGTGCACATTGGGGAGCCCGTGGCAGTAATGCCAATGTATGTCTCCAGGACGGAGTTGCGCACGCGAATGTACTCTTGGAAAATTGGTATCACGTAAATATATTGGTCTGTTACTCAGCACGCGAAACCACAGACACCCTTCATGGCTGAGAAACATGCCGAATCAATATTGTACCTTAATATTTTGTCGGAGACAATCTTTTCCAAAGTTTTCCGAGGACAGCAGCCATGACGGTGAAAACTGCTCCGAGACGCTCCAGTTGTGACGACACATATCAGTCAGGGTTAAACGAAAACGGGCAGACTCGAGACGGGACACGCGAGCGCACTTCGTGGTGACAGCAATGGTCAGGATTATGTAACGTGAAATATTCATAGTGGGTTTGTTGTCACGTAGACGTGTGCAAAAACATGATAATAATATTTTACCATGTTATCAGTGGGAATACATTTTAAAGGTGATTCTGTCACAAGCACTTGCCAATATTCAGTTTGTGTTTTGCGTGAAAGCACTTTTCAAAACGTTACGATGATGAACACATTTCAATACATATTTCTGGTGGAAACACTTTTCAAAATGTGTGTCTTGTGAAATCACTGTTCTAAGAGTGATAATAAGCACTTTTTTATACATATTCCTGGTGGAAACACTTTTCAGTACGTGTTTCCATTGAAACATAATAATGTGTTATGTGCAAAAACATTCCTGAAATGTTGAAACAAAAACACTGAATGCAAGTGTCTTCATCATATACACTTTTCGTAATAATGCAGATTATAAACACTTTAAGTGTTTTAAAGTGGAGACAACCTTATAAACACTTTAAGTGTTTTAAAGTGGAGAGAAGCTTATAAACACTTTGAATGTTCTACACAAAAATATTTTATTTTTAAACAATAGTGTTGTAAAATAATTGATTTGCAATTTTAAGAAAAACACTTTAGGTGTTAAATTATAAAACAGTTAACGTAATTTTATAGTAGGGACACAAATGTAAAATCAACCAAACTGTAAACAGAGAGATAACTTCGTTGGCCGACAGCGTAATGTAACACACTTTGATTAAAATAACAGTAAGTCAAGTTAAAACAAGTTTTCTAAAAAAAAATATAAACACACACCCGAAGTTTCAACGATGATCGGCAAGCATCAGTGTCTTTGATGATTATATGCTCAGTTTCTAACCGAACTACTTATTTGTTGTTTGCATTGAAAACATACATTTTTTTCAATGATTTTCATTGAATTATGATTGCAATATTTTCCAAAGTACGATGTGTTGACATTTGAAATACCAACCAACATAGACACAAATGTTCGATTTTTTTTAATATCAAAATGTATTTTTATGTTTATTAAGCTAACATTGTAATAACAATATATGCGATAGGTCACTTGGTTCAGCGAGGACCTTATTTTCCGAGATTCGACTATACGGAATTTGAATAAAATTTGTGCTAAAAGCGAGAATCACGCTTATATTCGTCGTAAACGCTCGTTTAAACCCCATTGTAGCTTCAAGTATAACATATATTGTTTCGTGTTCAGGTTTACAACTCGCATTGTAATGTGGTTGCCATCATATTGAACTGAAAGCTTGACCTGCGCCACGTGACTCAACTGGATGCGTGAATCGTGGTCACGCGTGATCTCACAGATTGCGGTATATGTGTTAGAGGGGCGCACTGTCGTGAATCATGATGACCTTCCAGAGACGAACTTTGGGTTCACAAACATTTTGCCGCGTCGCACTGACATGAATGACCTTGTATAAACGAACTTTGGATTCACAAACATTTCGCTATGTGTCGTGCAAGTTGCAGACTAAGCAAACTATTAGTGCAATGCCGTCACCACCAGCTATTAGAAAAGGCTATAAAATTGCGGCGGGGGCTGCAGCAGCCGCCGGTCTAATGAAATATTTGTATCCGTATGCTCGCCACGACCTACGGATGCTTCGAGGAGTAAACGCACTCCTGACAGGTACTAATGCTTACCTAGAAAACAACAAGTACTTCGTGGACATGTTCGAGAAGACCGCTACCCAAGACCCATATAGGACATTCATAATCTTTGAAGATGCTATTTATACTTATGGCGACATCGACTCAATGGCCAACAAATTCGCTAACTTCGTGCACAATCAGGGGTTGAGACTTGGTGACTGTGCTGCAATAATGATGTACAATGAGCCGTCATTCATTTGGAGTTATTTAGGGTTTGCTAAGTTGGGAATCAAGTGTGCACTAATCAACTATAACATGAGAGCCAGGTCGCTTCTGAACTGTATTGAGATCACCGGTGCACGTGTTTTATTAGTTGGACATGGTGAGTATTGTTTAATTGGCCTTTGTTGCTAGTCATCCAACGAACAAAGTAAACGTGGACATCTTCGATATAGAGATCGCAATTCATTGTAATATATATTCCGTTGAACCGTCGCTCTCGCTAGTCCAATTCCCTCCGTCGTCGATCGTTCGCAATGGGCGAATAATCTCTATCTCAGTGTCTTTGTCTAAACACTTTGACATAATAGCCATAATTGAACGAGCATATGTATTCATGAAATAATAAAGTGTCCGATATCAACAATGAGTAAAACATGATTGTTTGATGAATGTTTGACTGAACGCTTGAACCCATCTGAAACCCTGGACCGTTGTTTTGATTAACTGTCACGTCACTGAAATGTCTAGGAAAGTTTCATGGGATGTTGCAAAGTCCCTCGGTAATTACCTACCGTGTGCGGGAGTTAGGTGTATGTAAATATCTTGCGCTCGCTGTAAAGCAAATTAAGGTAGTTTTCTACAACTAGCATTAAAACATAAAAACATGGATCACAGTAAATCAGTCAAACCTTGTAAATTGTGTGATGATTCAAATACAGGCACATCATTCACATTAAATGATTTTACGGGAGAAAGAAGGATGTGTTTCCACGAAAAAAACATATGCAAAATCTTCTAAATCTAAAAAGCGGTTACTTTAGGTCACCGAACAAAATGTTGACATATGATGGAATGTTTCTGCCATAGAAACCATTTGTAAACTAATCATAATATGCAATTTTGATCAATTCTTTTGGAAAAACTTAGTTAGGTGACCATATATTTTTATTTCAGAATGTTGAATAGATTAACCCAAATCCTCTTACTGGATTTTTTTTATCGGTAACAAACCACCTTAATTACTACTGCCATAACTGCATTACATTGAATAACAGTGATATTATTTTGCATAATATAACCTGGATCACGCTGTAAATTTAGAGCACTGGCCTTCTATGTGTTTTTTGTATAAATGATAACTCGGCATACGCTATGAAGTTAAAAACCTAGCATTAAGTTTTGTTTGTTTAAAAAATACCTGTCTAATGCTGTACATTTACAGCACAGTCCATCTATTTGTTTCATGAATTTAATGGTTGAAAAATTTGCTAAACCTGTGAATTTAAAGCTTGAACTACTGAATTGCTGTCCTACAAAAGAACATCAAGGCATATGTAGCCAAGGCTTAAATATACAGCATGGGCAAAGTTATGTTGACATTAATTGTTAGGCTAATACCTTAAAACTATCTTCTACCTCAAATCTTGGGACCGTAAAGCAACAGCGTTGTTTCACAGTGCACGTTCAAACGACATGTTAAACTTGTATTTTATTCGTGCTGGATGGCTCCCTTATTGAATAAGGCTGTGTCGTTTATTTAAAGAAAATAAATACATAATGATTAATAACTATTGAGCTACATATTTTTATTCTCACATTTACATTGTATTTTAATAAACTTAGACAATCATCTAATATCGTACGTGGAAGAAATATCCAGTCAATTACACCAACAAAAGACTGACATATGGACAACTGGTGGAAAAGATCGAGGAATATTCTGGCATATTGATAGAGATTTGTCTAACACATCCAATCAGCCTGTACCAAGAGAAATCAGGGGTCAGCTTCAGAAAACAGATACATCTGTATATATATTTACTTCCGGTACTACAGGTATAGACTGATGTGTGTATTTTAATCATGTTTATAATGTTTGTTATGAAAGTATTTGCTCAGCAATGTGCATACAAATGGCGATTACTTGCAACATACCCCTGAAATAGTGTGATGGTCTTCAAATACACATATGAAAAAATAAATGCAGTTTGTATTCAATGTACGTAAAAAGGATCAAAGGTGTACCTTTGTTTAACTGTACCTAAACCATTTATGTGGAATTGTACATACTATGACCCAGAGCTTTTTTTTTCGTAGGTCTCCCCAAAGCATCAGTGGCATCGCATACCCGTCACGTGAGAGCTGCATTTACGTTGACATCATCCGGTCATGGTCTCACGTCCAAAGACCGAATATATGTATCATTACCACTCTATCATTCGTCAGGATTTTACCTGGGATTCGCAACAGCAGTTAATTACGGTAAGTTGAATATAGTGCAAGTAAACAAACAAATTAACAATTAGAATATGATCAAACTGAATGTTCTTGATAATTGCAGTTTTGTTTTAAAGTCACATATATTGTTTTTTACAGTTTCAAATTCTTCCAACATTATATTGGCAACGCATTTACTTTAATAGCAACTGCTTTTTGTTTTACTGTTCAGAACTTGTCTGGTGATAGAATCACTTCACAATTTACTAAAACACATTGCCAATATATTAATAAATTGAAAGATACTTATTTGTTAAATGATGTTAAACTGGTCACAGGGTACATCCAATAAACGACGTCCCTGTATGCAGACGAGGAGTGTTCACTCACGCACACACACGCGCACACATACTTCAAGTTATTAGTTTCCGCTGACACAAAAGCTGTGAAATGCATATATCAATATACGTGTCTAATCACGTCATATTTAATAAACTCATAAAAATAATACACTCAAAATTATATAATCTGATCTCATGGATGACTCATTAGATTTCCTCCATTCTTGTAATTGCATAGGAATGTTGTTGTCATGCGTATTTCTATTTTGTGTCTGGAAAATTGTCATTATATGTGAAATAAACATATTATTTGTATGTAAATGTCAAAAAACTACCTTTTCGTATACACATGGAACTAGCAAATTACTGGTAATATATATTAAATAGCACAGAATAATCTTATAACAACCTTAATGTTACTTTCCATAAATTACATGTCTATGGTGCATATTATTCACAGTTTTGTGACGTTTACTCTGAAATATCATTAGACGATATTGTAAGCGTTATCATTATTATCACGTCATTTTGAACATGTTCGAACAGTATGGGGAGAAATAAAGTTCCGATGCGAGAATTTCAGACTGAATATTGCACACATACTAAAATCGTGCAATGACACTAACTCACATTGAAATTTATTAATTTAAAATATATCGATAAAAATGTAAAGTTTCGTTCAATTATCGATAGCCATCGGCGGTTGTAAATGCAAATACGTGTTTACTGCTGCGTTTAAAGCGCGGGGGGGGGGTCGTCACCTTCGCACGCACGGGAATTGAGTCCCAAGCAATGATGACGAACACACGCTAAAAACGCAAAGGCTCAAGGGTAGACGCTTGTTTGTTACAATGACACGCTATGGCCGTCTGACGCACGCGCAGGCTTTAAGAACCATAATTTATCAGCAGAAAATACCATACGAGTCGTAAGCGTAGTTGTGTCAGAATTCAACACAGCTTCAAATTTTAAATATGTTGTTTTTCTCTAAATCGACGGATGTTAAAAAACCTTGTTTTGTACTCACTTCAAACCTACCTTTGGACATTTTAAACACTGTCAGGATCAAGTATGGTTCTTACCAGAAAATTTTCAAGCCATAAATTCTGGGATGACTGTCGTCGTCATAGTGTAACTGTTATTCAATACATTGGAGAGGTATGCCGATATCTACTGACTTTACCCGAGGTAAGACCACTTTATTTTATAATTTTGTAATCACCATAGTTTGCACATTAGTAGCAACTACTGTTTAGGATCACGTATATGTAGATTAGTGTTTCGCAAGGTGGTCAGGTTGGGTTCAAATCATGTTATTGGTTTTGATAGCTATATGAACGGGGACGTTTGAAAAAATGTATTCCCCGTCAAGTTATATTCAGAATAATGCACTGAATTGAGCCATTGTTGGTTGTGCAAGTGATACCGTTCCACTGACGACTGCATCGGAACAAAATAGTGTGTTCATTTGTTTCTGTTTTCGTCACGGTGTAAGTCGTTAATAACAGCGACACTTTTAATCGGCACCTCGCAAATGACATTCGGTCTTGGTGGTATTCACAAGACGCTGCGCATAGGCTGAAACAGCACAACTAATCATGCGATTAGCTTTAGCCATACAAACATTAAGATGTACTCATTGTCTGATTAATAGCATCCCGACGACAGGAAACACTCGGTGAGAATGGCAGTAGGGAATGGACTTAAAGCAGACATATGGAGTCAGTTTAAGAATAGGTTTAACATACCAATTATTTACGAGTTTTATGGAGCAACTGAAGGTAACTTCCTCGGACTGAATTTCGACAACACCGTCGGCGCCGTCGCACGTTCTACACCCCTGCTCAAGGTATGCTGAAGCATCTCAATGCGACTTTTGATTGGACCTTATTAGGTTCAACATAATTCCATATCATCCAATATTTCTGTTCACGATAATAACTAATAAATGCACGGGTACATACTTTAAATACGTATGGAACAGGTTTTGTGGAGCCGCGCTATAAACTAAATAGTAAACATCGACTACTTCTTTATAATGTGAGAAAAAAACATATCGTCTTCCTGATTAGCACTAATTCAATTGTTTCAGTTTCTAATGGGATTTCATTTGATCAAGTTTGACAACGAAACAGCGGAAGTCATTCGAGGTCCTAATGGTAGATGTATACCTGTAAAATTCGGTAAGAAATAATTATAATTGATAAGAAGACAAAATTAAATGTATTCTGTATTGTTTTTAATAAATTTGCTTTGATTCATAACATTTGTAAATATTTGAAGCTTGTAAAACTGCAATCAATAATCAACCAATGCGGGTCACTGCATAGTCCATTTGATATCGTACTCAATTTAATCCCCCTTAGACGATAGTGAAAACAAACTGGGCAATTAAACGCATTGAGAGTTAAATACCCAAATTTCACAAAATTAATAGGTGTAATTTGTCTATATTTTATATTACCAAAAAGTAAACGGCATCGCCGCAGTATTGAAAGTACCGGAATAAAATCTCCCCAACTATACTGTTATTGCACAAATTAGAAAAGTTAATCAGGGTGAGTGGTGTTTCTAAATGTAAACTGTGAAACAGTACACATCATGTTCGATATCGTTATCTGAAGTTGTATTACACGCCTACTTATACCGAATAAACCTAGTCGTAAACAAAATCGAATATTATTTATGTAGGCAATGTACAAATAGTATTGCATGAGACATGACAGGCATATAACTTCGTTCTCGGTATTACTGATTTATTGGTATCTACAATGCAGGAGAACCTGGTCTTCTCATAACCGAAATCAGTGACCGTATAGCATTCGAAGGTTACCATGGAAATAAAAAGTTAACTGAAGAGAAAATAAGTAGAAATGTATTCAAAGACGGCGACGCTTATTTAAATTCTGGTGATGTAATGATTTTAGACAAGAACTATTATTTGTATTTTGTGGATAGACTCGGAGACACTTTCAGGTAAGCATGTTTTTAAGTATAGAAAATGGTAATTTGTAATCATTAACAATATATACACGTTTAGGCCAGTTTACCCACCAGAATATGAGTGAATAATGAGACTACAATTACAATTATTCACATATCACAGTCATTAATTTTAACAGCTATACTACTAGTAGCCGTATAGTAGTATGTTCTAATAACCATGACAGTCAATCGTGCATTTCAAGCACTGACCGTGCTAAACGTGCTACGATAAATATGAATATATATTCAGTATTCTGTTCTGACCAATGAATTAATTATTTTCCGAGACATCCACGAGTCTAATTAATTAAATTTTAGGTGAATTGCTGTTTTATGTATTTTGACTAGTTTTTGGAAATGACTTCATATAAATGCATAGTATGGCTGTTTTTCTATTTTGTGAACACAAATGCTGAACGCACGAACTTCATCACCTCATTATTTGTGATTTAATTCATTCTTTATTTCCCCCAGATGGAAAGGTGAAAATGTCTCTACTACCGAAGTGGCCAGCGTCTTGACCATGTTTCCCGGCATTAATGAAGCCAATGTGTACGGCGTGCAAGTTCCCGGTATGTCACTAATGTTTTTGTTTTTGTTGTGCTATCAACCTAAACAACCCTCATCATTCTATACAATAAATATGTAGAACATACAGGACGTTTTACACTAAACCTATAGTCGATTCTATACATTCTACGCCATCCCATTAGATGAACTGTTGTATTTTACATTCAATCAATCAATCAAATATTTTATTTTACCTAATAATGTACACTTGTAGTTTACAAAACAAGAATCAATTATAAATAGGTAAAATAGGAACCAGAAATAGCCGTTGGCTAATTTAGTCTGATTCCTCAAAAAACAAAATGAATTACACTATCTTTGAGGGTGATTTATAATAACCTGAACCTGTAAGTGAAGCTAATAATAATAATAATAATAATAATAACAATGATAATGATAATAATGATAATTATTATTATTATTCAATTAATTTTTCTTTCATTTTTAACTTAAATAATTTCCTTGAGGTAATGTCATATATATTCTGTGGTAGCTGGTTCCATAGCTTTGGGCCAGTATTTTTAATAGAACGTTGACCAACATTAATACGGTACTTTGGAATTATTAAATTTCCTTTGGTTTGAAACCTAGTATGATAAGTTTTGGGTACATGCTGAAAGAGTTGGGATATAGAATTAGGAAAATGTCCATGAATACTATCAAAAACGAAAAGGGCTAATTGGAACTGGTGTTGTTTGTATATATCAAGTATATTACAGCTGCTAAACAATGGGAGAGTATGTGAAAAAGGAGGTGAACCAGAAATAGTACGTACAATTCGTTTTTGAATAATTAGTATTGGATGTCAGCTCTGTTAACTCGTATTAGGTTTTTCGGTAAGCACACACTGTATGATTTATGATGTGTATTAATATTATACTATAAATATTTATACCACTCTTGGCCATGTGACCAATTCTCTGGTCGTGTGTTTATTTTTTCAACTCCCCACTTTGTCTGTTTTTCATATGCAGATTAGTAATAACTACATTTGCACAGTTTCGTAATTCGCATACTTGTTAGTGTCTGACATTTCTGAACTTAGAGCCTGTCCCTGTTTGGAATTTTAGATGTGAATCATTCTTTTATTTATGCAAATGTACTGTTCAGCTGATAGCAACGAGACGAAGTGTGTCAATTTATTCTGCGTGTTCGTCTGATTATCACAAACACGGCTACTTGTGCGATTTACTTTGTGTAGTACTATGCACATTTGTCTTCCCAAAATAATAATATTATACACTCTTTTGGAATATACATTTACAGTACGGTGCCTAACTGTTTTGATTCTAGGTCAGGATGGCCGAGCTGGTATGGCCGCCATAGTATTTAACGACGAACAAGAATGTGACATGCAACAGTTATACAACCACGTGACAAAAGCTCTACCATTGTACGCATGCCCTATGTTTCTCCGGATAACACAGACGCTCGAAACCACCGGTACATACAAATACAAGAAAAAAGATCTGATGCGCGATGGTTTTGATCCAGGCAAGACATCAGACAAATTATACTTCAAGGATTTTACTAAGAAGACTTACTCGCCATTGAATAAAGGAGAATTTCAAAAAATTGTTTTCGGTAAAGCGAGGTTATAAACTTTGAATATGTCGAAGAACCCCCACTACAGTGGACCATACACAAACTAAACTTATTAATCATAATTTTTAGGTACAATATCACGTACCATTTTAGTAATAACGAATTAACTTTTCGTTCAATGCAGTTGAATTATCATATTTTAAATGTTTATATATCACCAATGTAGCCATATTATTCAATTTCATATCACTTGTTATATCGACGATATTTCATATGCAATGTTATGCAGAGCCATAGTCTAAGCACCTGTAATTTAAACGTTACCGAATCACTTACAAAAAAAAACATTTCTCTTTCAAGAAAAACTGACGATTTTTTTTATCGTTTATTTTGTTATATAATCTCTGAAATAAACATACTTTCTAACCATGCTGGTTATCCACAATCACGCTTGTAATAGCGCCGTGCACGATGATCAAAGCGTTTATGATGATAAAAATCTCGTTCGTCAACACAAGCTGCAGCTTCATCACTATGCAAACAACAATCAGCTATATCCTATGTTTCATCATAAGGAATCTACGTTAGCATTTAACTCAATTAAGACCTGAGTCTATGATCAAGGAATGGATGACATAAAACAAGTTCAAACCGAAGTATTGCTCACCGGGTTCAAATTTACCAGGTTCCCCGATCCACTTGACAATGTCACAATTTTCCCTAGTTTTGTTGTACCTGCTGCTCCTGTACGTAATATCGGAGTATCTGTTGACAAAACACACGGTTTAAAATTGCCGTGAGATACTTGTTTGTAACTCTGGAATGACAATTTGAATCTACCAGGTGTGCTTGTGATTTACATGACAAAGGATGTTTACGATCTACTTACTTGCCCACGGCTGCTAGCTAGACCACATTTCAATTGGCTCACGTAGAAACCCAGGTGATGTACCTGACTCTGGGCCATTTATGCCTATAAATAGGCTAGACTGAGGACAGTTGTGGTCCACCATTTCAACTGAGTACCCTGTGTGTTGCTGCTGCGATATTGTGAGACAAGTGATACAGACTTCAATCCTTATTCTGTGAGACTTGTACAAACTGCTCTGCGACCCCCTGCTATCAGCGGTGCCTTTAAGAATAACAGCGTTCCTCTACAATCAACACTCCCGTATTCCTTCGTCGTTGTGTTGCAGAAGCCATTGACTGTCATCTTTTTCCACACCCTGGAACTGCGAGTTATCACCAATGCACACTTCTCTAGGCAATCCCCCATTTTAGTGAATTTTTCATTGTATTTTTCTGTGCTTTATTTCTTCTAATTATTTTGAGAGGTATTAAAGCCAGGGACTTTAACTCGATATTTTGGTGTATGTGTATTTCATTTCCAGTACTATTGTCTTGTCTACCCAATTCTAGCAGTGAAAAAACTCCATGTTCAGTATGAGCTCTGTGAGTGCCCCTCTCAATAGCATAAGCAGGCCTTACCCTGTGAAAGACCGTTACTTGTAAGTCAGGATGTATCTGGTCTTTTCTGGTCTACCGTTAGGAGTACATATTCTCTACCTTTGATCTGTGGGTAATTTGTCAGTTTTATTTTATATATTTTCTGTATTATTAGCTTCCCCTAAGAGGAACGCAGACGCTTTGAGTTTTACTAATTTTAGCGATTGGGACAATCCTGATCTTAACGAGTTGCCTCAAAATAGCGCCACCACAGGTGAAATAGAAACATTTTCAGCCAATCAGATTGCACTGAGTGTAGAAACATACAACTTATATTTTAATTTATATTGTTGTATTTCACAATAAAGTTACAAATACGATTTTAAATGCATGCGTATCCTAGCTGTTTCTTCTGATGTTTTGTACGCGCATAAATACGGTCGAGAACAAGCGAATCGACATCGTTAGTGAATAAAATACAGCCCGAAACTCAGCCAACCCTTTGTTGGTGTTCGCCTGCGGCTCGTGCATATATGTCGTGAATTGTGCAATATCTCGTGGTATACCCGCCTTCGACGGGGTTATTGCTTAAATAAACCAAATAAGCATGTCGGTTAAATTAAAATATACAAAAACGGTTTCTTGATTTGTTTGGCCGCCAGTTTATATTGTGTGCACCAAAAATCAATGTCAATATGATTAAAGGTAAAGTCAATGATAGTGCCACTCCTCATGCATAGAGATATGATGAATGATTTTATCAACTATATCATGATTTATATTTCAGTCAGTTTGACAGTGGTTGCCATGACATATACTGATAAAGGTTAATGACAAGACCAGATGGCGAGCTGGTCGAAATCAACCAAAAACATCTTATGACTCTGCAGTTTTTAAGATACAAGACAGTAGCTGTAATTCTAAACCAATGTTGTTTGCGATTTTAAACTAAGGTAGTATCTTTGTGGAATGTTAGTGCGAGATTATTACCCCATCAATGTTAGTTAGCGTTGACAATGTATAGAAATGTTTTCTCTAGACAGCTTGACGAGTAATTAATTGATTATGATGTGTAAAACTTTCATGTGATTGGTTGTTTGTTGGAAGGCAAGGCCTTGGAGTCTCTTATACTGATTGTAATTGGTTAAGGGGTGACAAGAAATAAAGATGGATTCAATGCTGTCTCGGGTGAAAACCAGGGACTTGGCAGAGAATCGTTTTGGGAACATGAACGAAGCTTGTGTGTGTCTTTTGTTAGCCTAGCGTGGAAACGACCGAACCCCGGTTACCTAAGTGAAAGGTTTTTAACCATCAAAA